CCGATTCTGACAGCCTACGGCCTGTTTGCAATTTTTTAGAATCCTCAAATTCCAAAAGGAGAAAAAGATATGCTCAAATTTAAGTTTTTTTTAATTTTGGTTAAATCTGGTCAAACTATGGTCAAACTACTTATTCAAGAAGTATTAATGTTACTACATACTTATTCAAGAATATCAGTGTCACTAAATAATTATTTCAATTTTTTGAATTTTTGTCAAATCTGGTCAAACTATGGTCAACCTTATTTCAGAAATATTAGTGTTACTAAATAATTACTGTTTTTTTAGAATAATAGTTTCAAACTCAAATGATGAAATGTGTGACCTAATGCTCAAGCTAAACTGCTGAGGGTTAATAGGATTTACAGCTTACATTTGTCAGGAAAACAACAAGTGCAGACTTGGAAAGTAGGTAGAATAGAACTCCGAAGTTAAGCGTGCCCAGGCTGGGGGAGTGAGAGGATGGGTGACCGGTCGGGAAGTTAGACGATTTGGAATGAATGATCCACACTTGAGTAGTTAAGAGGGGCGATTAGAGACTAAATCATCAAATAATTCAGAAAATTGAAAATAAAAAAAATCATTTTTTTTCAAAATTTTCAAAAAAAAATCAAAAAAATACCTTTAGTACCGGTTGGTAACACCAACCGGTATTAAAGGTCCCCCATACCACGGCGCGAGCTCGCGCCACGTGGCGGGCCTTTAGTGGCGGTTTGTGCCGAACCGGTACTAAAGGAGGGGGCTTTAGTCTTCACTCTTTAGTGCCGGTTGCAAAATCGGTATTAAAGGCCCTTATAAAACGGTATTAAAGCTCCGTTTTCTACTAGTGCATGCAGGGGTGGGGAGAGTAATGCGTCCCGATCGGACATGGTAGCCGGGTGCGCGTCCATGGTTTGCGTCATGCACGCGTTCGTGTGAACAGGAGGGTCACTATTTTTGGCTGGTGAGGGCAGCTGTGCTGGGGTTGCAGGGCATGGCTCAGGTTCGCATGATGGCAGCGCGTTTGGATTGTAGCAGTGACCGGGTTCCTGCGTCAGCGTGGGCGGCGGCATGCATGCTAGCGGTGCTGGGTGGTGGAGCTGCGGGTTGGGGTTGGAGGTGTTGGGCCCAAGTGCATAGGATGGTGATCCATGGACCGTGTCCAGCGAGAGGGGGCGGACGGGTGTGGAGATCGATGGCGGGCAGGTGGATCGAGTGTCACGGCCTCACGGGTTCCAGGTGCGCGCCGGATGGGCTGGTTTTGGCCGATTCTGAGTTAGGCATGCAGGTTTGTTCCTCGTTTTCAGTAGTGGTCAAAAGCATGGTGATCATGGGCGCGTGAGTAGTCAGGGTAGGGTTGTGGCAGGGAGTTGTTGGAGGCGATTTTGGGTGAGCTGTGTAGGCAGCAAGTGACCCGTTGGGTACTAGGGTGGTTTGTGGTTTGAATTTTGTGCTCGGAGTAGTCTGGTGCATGCATGGTGCGTACGGGCATGGTCCAAGTAAGGATGCAGTCGTAGGCAATCTTTCGGGCATGCATTGTTCCAGCGTGTTCGTCGAACAGATGACATGTAGAGGCTGTTCATGAGCAGTGACTGAGCTTTGTTGGTCAAAGAAGTGGAGGGAGAAGCATTTGAAAACTAGCGGCGAGATCCTCAGGATTTCAAAACGAACTTCTGTTGATACTACAGAGGAGAGAAACACGTGGGCTGACAATCTAGTTGCCTGGAAAACTGGTTTGACCAAAAAGTGGTAGCCTAGAGCATTTGTTATGAATGTAACATTAGGATTAATATTCTCTAAAATGCAAACTATCCAAAAAGGAACGGTAGTGGGGCAGCGAAGAGGAGCAATAGGACGTGTAAGCTTGGTGTGGTACATGTTCGAAAAACGGTTAAAGAATCTTAATCCAGGGCGGGAAGGCCTAACCTCTATTACCATGCCAAGCGGCGGCGTTGTCGATTCCGACAGTATTACCGGGTCGGGGATGAACACAGGCGTGGTGGAGACCGGCGCAGGTGGTGTTGATGGTTTGCTGATGGAGCGAGGGCGAGGAGTCCCAGCCGTACGCTGCACAGCGTTTGGCGCGTAGGCCGCAGACGTGGCGGCGATGATCGAGGCGGAGAAGAAGGGCGTGGAGATGGGTGAACATGCCGAAATCTATTCCTGCGCGAATGCCGAAGCCACACAGAAGGAGTAGGCCGAGGACATCAGCTGCTGAATGTCGAATGTTTTTGCCCTCCCACCAAACCTTGTTTGAAGAAGAGCTGCGACGAGGTAGGTAGGCTGCATGAGTGGAAGAAGATGATTGTGTCTCTGGGGTGGGACGATGCATGGCGTGGAGGCGAGACCATTGATCGCTTGGCCTGCCATAGATGCGCCTGGAAAGCAAGACCGATCGATGGGTCAAGGCGGAGAGTTTGGTCGACGAAGCGGAAAGCGTGCTGCATGCGATCGCCAATGTCGATGTTTTGCGGGGCGAGGTTGGAGGGCGCCTGGGCGGTGGTGGCTGTCTTGTGGGGGGCGGTGGGAGGAGGCGCGGCGTGATGGAAGTGGAAGGGTCTCTTGTGGCATCATTGATCAAGCACGGCAAGAAGGAGATGTGGATGCGGGGAGAGACGATTTCTTTCTCTCGAAGTATGGCCAGAGCGACCGGAGCCGAGGAGACAGTGAAGCGGAAGAGAGAGGGTGAGAGCCGGAGTACCATGAACATGTCGGATTGTCCTCCAAGGCAACCTTGGAGGTAGCATGCAATCATGAGCGAGTCGATTTCCAAGCCAGCGCGCTCAGCGTTGACCAGCAGGTGGATGCCGGAGCCTTTGTGTCGAAAGAGGGTGATTGGCTGAAGGATGGCGGACCACACCTGTTGTTTGAAGTCAGCACCCATGGCGTTTCCAACCCCAAGTGCAGCTCGGATGGCTCCGTGCACCGGAGAGTCATCGAGCCAGTTGTCCGCGGGGAGCGGAGGAGGGCAGAAGGTTGATACGGGGAGGCTGGCGTGGGCGGTGGCCGGAGGTGGAGGCGGTAGAGGTGGCTGGCGATGATGCAGTGGTGGTGGCGGGGGAGCAGGGGAGGAGGGAGGAGGGGAGAGAGAGGAGCCATGTGGTCCCATAATATAAGAGCGTTCTTTACAGTAGTGTAAAGAACGTTGATGGAGTTTTATATTGTGAGACTTGCCTACTTTTTCTTAATGAAGACACCCAAATTGCATCTTAAATCTAATTAATATCAAGCAAAATAAAGGCCAGTACAATGGATAGACAACTGGACGTAGAACAACCAGTAAAAAATAAAAATACATTAAAAAGCATACTAGTCGTCTTCCTCCTCTGATTGAACGTCACCCGCCGGAGATTGAAAATTGCACTAAACCAACAGCAAAGAGCAGTGACACCTACGAACGCCCTCGCCGTACCAGGCTCTGAAGACCGCAACAGCCACTCGCCCCTCCCCTTGAGACGAGACCTAAAAATCGTTGAATCGGCATCGGTTGGAGCATCGCCCCACGCAGAATAGGCTTGCAATCCTTCACCACCAACGCATAGGTTTGGAGATACCGGGCCAAGCCACAGGTCAATACAAACGAAGACGTCGTAATCGCCACACCAGAACGAGGAAAAAGGACGTCCGGAAAAGTTGGTTCGCAGGAGGCGATCAAGGAGGCGACTAGGGGTCCCTTGCGCGCCGCCGGTGACGCCGCCGGTTCCCTCTCTCTCCGTCGGCCGCTCCGGCGGCGGGAGGGAGGGGGAACCTCGGGTCTGTTCACTAGGTGGGTGTGTGGTAGGGTTAGGGTTGAGGGAGACGCTGCCGAGGCCGTTGTGGTGGTGTCGCGTCGGAATAAGTTTCTCCGGGCTCCGTTCGCGGTCAGGCGAGGCTTTTGCCTTCGTCTAGGAGCCAGCGGTGTTGGGGATCCCCGGATCTCGTCGAGGTCGCGGGCTATGGTGGTTGAAGGTCCATCGGCACTGGCCGTTTGGATCCTCATATGGGCGATGGAGGCAGGGAGACGAAGACCTTTCTTCTTCCTTGTTGGTATGATTTGCTGCTGCTGTTCTTCTCCTTCCTCTGCGCTGATGCTGGTGGGAGATCCTGCTTTGCCCGGGCGGATGGCCCGGCCGCGGTGCTGGACCGGTCGGATGACTCGAGTTCTCTTCCTTCCGGAAGGGACACTTTTCGCGGTACTCAAAGCCAAAGATGGCGACGGCTGTTATAGGTGTGTTGGATTGATGTCCATGCCCTCTCAGCGCTGGTGTCAAGAAAGGAGGAAGCAACGTGGCGGCATTTGTACCGTGGTTGAAGATGATGACCTGTTTGCGACTGGTTGCAGATCTTTCTGCTGCAGGGGTCTTCTCTCAAGATTTAGAGATGATGACACAGGGCTCCGGAGATCTTCTTGTGTTATGGTTGTCTTAGTGTACTCTAGGTGTTCATGGTCCTTTGTGTTTGCGTTTCAGTGTGCTTGTAAGGGTCACCTACTTTGTACTGATTCGTGATTTGAATGAAGATTTTCTAAAAAAAAAATCGCCACACCAATTAAAAGCCAAAAATAGCCCTGCTTTTACCAAATATCACCCTCCATTTTTGTTCCTGGGTCCGCCACCACAAACGTCTCGGCCGGTTCAAAACAAACAACCAATAACCTGAGGCAGTGCTAGCCGCCACCGCGCACTCACCAACCCTGGAATTTTCTACGGTTACGGACAGCTGCACCCACCCACCCACACACAACCCAACTCGACCACTCCCACACGCAGCCTGCCGTCGCTTCCCTCCCTCTCCCGGCGACAATTGTCTTAGACCGATCCCGATCCCAACAACCCCACGCGACGACCGCCTCCATTATTCCCCCCGGCCCCCGCTCGCTCGCCCGCCGCCGCGCCTGAACCTCTGACCCCGCACATGCCCGCGCTGCCACGGCCAGCAACTTATGCACGGCCGTAGCCGCCATAGAGCATCGTCCGTCTCTCTCTTCCTCGTCTGGCAGCCTGGCTGCCTCGCTGCTGCGCCGCGTGCGCGCCTCGTCGTCGATGAAGTCGGCGACCTCCCTCCTCCTCGGCGCCGCGCTCGCCACCGCCTGCTTCCTCCTCTACACGTCCGTGGGCCGCGACCTCGGCGCGTGGTCGCCACCGGCGCCTCGGTGGGCGCCGGAGAATGGTGGAGGCGGCGCCGATCGGCCCAAGCAAGAGCTCGTCGTCGTGAAAGAGGAGGAGGTGAGTAGGGGCGTGGTTGCCAGCAGCGACGGCGGCGGCGGCGGCAGAGATGATGGCTCGTCGTCGGAGCAGAAAGGAAGGCAGCAGCGGCGGCAGATCGTGATGCCTGCGAACAAGCAACTGCAGGTTCGTCTTTGCTTTAGCTATAATCACACAATTAATATGTTAATTAGGAAATTAATTTTTTTATCCCTGGTATTCTGCATGATCAGAGTGAACGTTGACTAATCACTTGTTATCCCGTGATTTGTGCTGAGAAACTTAATTAACACACCCATTTGGCCAGTTCTTAGTTATATGACCCAGACCTAGCATTAGGAGAGCTTCTTACCAAACACATGGCTCTGGCTGCGTCTAGACAGGGAATGCAACTTTTTCACGTCAAGACAGATGAATTATTTTCGCTTTACTTATCTCCGGTTCTCCTAAATGCCACTTGCCGATGTCGACGGTCCGGCTAGTGCCACTAGCATCATGTTACCCAAAACAATCAACCCTTTTGGTCTTCTCACTTGTATACTACCTCCGTTCTTAAATGTAAGTCTTTTTAGAGTTTTCACTACAAACTATATATAGATGTATATAGACATATTTTAGAGTGTAGATTCACTCATTTTTGTTTCGTATGTAGTTCGTACTGGAATCTTTTAAATGACTTATATTTAGGAACGGAGGGAGTACAAAAAATGGAGCATTCTTTATCCCACTTGTGGATGTAGCACTGATACCTCATCCTTATTTTTTTCTTATGATCTTTCTGATTTATAGTAAAAAGAAGAGAGAGGCATATATAGCATTATGGGTGTCCCGGGTTTTCAATACAAAACACTTTGTCGATTGGGTGGAGATGACTTGGACGGTCTGAGGTGCGACAATGTTGCACTTCCGAAATCGCTAAACCAAATCTGAAAGGTTATTAATCGCGTCGGAGCATCATAAGGTAATCACGAAAGTCTAGTCCCCGCTAGTTATCGCACATGCCCGAGTAGGGCAACACAAGCCTGGTTTATACAAGGCACATGGGTCCATGTGGAGGTGACATGCCACCTTTTGACTTGGTTTATGTAACAACTTGAACTGCTTTGGCAATTGTGTCATGCTCGGATGGAATTTGGGGACCTAGTTGGGACCGTTGGAGACCTAATTCATTGTTGAATGCAGAAGTTACCATTGTTTGAAATCAAGACTATGATAGTAGTCTAAACTAGAATACAGTACATAGAAGACTTCATCGGTAGCTCTTACCTTCAAAGCGACGTGAGAGAACTTCTTGTACAACATCGACATATGTCTCATTGCTTAGCCATCATGTCTTGATTAAATGTAGCCGAAGTAGTGCTAGGTGCTGTTGTATCCACCGCAGTAATGTCCTCGTAAGAGTATTTGTTGAAAATACAAAGAAAAGTATTCCTAAAACTAGAATCATTTTTAATACAAAAGTAGCTAGCACCTGCTTCACAATTGTTTAAGAGTTATTATTGTTCTACCGATGACAAAACTCTGGCTTTGATAAGAATGTGAAGCACCATGTGAAAGGTGCCCAAAAAACAAGATGCCAACAAAAACAGACAGATCAAACAATCATAATACTTCACATGACCAACTAGCATGTTGTATTATTTTAAACAAAGACACTATGAATACCCGGTTTAGTTAATTAGTCAGATTAGATAATCCCCTTGTGTGTTGTTGTGGAGATAAAAGAATAATGTTGATGCTACATCGAATGCATGGGAATGAGCTCGAAATTTTTAGAGAAGCTCTTATAGTTGAACACAAATGCATCGACGTGTGTGCACTATGATTTCATTTTAGCAGATGCATCTATTATTGTTAATAAAAGTTATATTTAAAAATAAGAATAGAAATAGTATCTTTGTTGTGCGGAGCTGAAATATTTTTGTAGAACAATTTTTGTTCACGTATGCGTGTAATTTGGAATGGTAGCAGGGTTTATATATGTATAAGATATATAGATAGTTCACCGCAAATAGCAAGTTGTTTCTTGGTTGCAAAAACTATAGGAGAGGTTATATTATGCTTGAAGTTGAGCTGATGATGATTTAACTTTCAACATGTGCTGTTTGTTTTTTGTGTAATCTCAACATCTTTACAAGGAAAAGACTATGTAATTATGTATCAACTCTAAATGATTTCACTGAAACAGCAGGACAAGCCAGCTATGTGTTGTTTCTTTTTTGTGTAATCTCAACATCTTTACATGGAAAAAAACTAAGTAATTATGTATCAACTCTAAATGATTTCACTGAAACAGCATGACAAGCCCCAAGATCTTGCCGATCTGCTCCGACGAGCGGCGAACGCAGACCGGACCGTGCTGATGACGGCGCTCAACGAGGCATGGGCGGCACCGGGGTCGTTCCTGGACCTGTTCCTAGAGAGCTTCAAGCACGGCGAGAACACCGCGTACCTAGTGAACCACCTGCTCATAGTGGCCATGGACAAGAAAGCGTTCGACCGGTGCAACGCCGTGCACCCCTTCTGCTACTGGTTCAGGGTGGAGGGCATGGACTTCGCCGCCGAGCAGAAGTACATGAAGGGGGACTACCTGGAGATGATGTGGAAGCGGAACAGGTTCCAGCAGACCATCCTGGAGCTAGGCTACACCTTCCTCTTCACCGACGTGGACATCCTGTGGTTCAGGGACCCGTTCCCGCGCATGTCGCCGGCGGCGCAGGTGGTGATGTCGTCGGACTTCTTCGTGGGCGACCCGGACTCGCCGGGGAACTACCCGAACGGCGGCCTCCTCTACGTGCGGTCCTGCGCCAGCAGCATCGGGTTCTACGAGCACTGGCAGGCGTCGCGGGCGCGGTTCCCCGGGATGCACGAGCAGTACGTGTTTGACAAGATCGTCAAGGAGGGCGTGCCCGGCCGCCTCGGCACCAAGGTGCAGTTCCTCGACACGGGCCGCTTCGGCGGGTTCTGCCAGCACGGCAAGGACCTGGGGAAGATCGTCACCATGCACGCCAACTGCTGCGTGGGGCTGGAGAACAAGCTGTTCGATCTCAAGAACGTGCTGGAGGACTGGAAGATTTATAAGAGGCGTGTCGCCGCCGGGAACACCACGGAGTACTTCTCGTGGAGGGTGCCCGGGAGGTGCATACACTGATGGATTAGTTGCGACACACAAATTGCAAACTGTGCTCTCTTACTTATCTTTTCTTGTAGGATGTAAAGTTTCAAAGTTTTTTGAAAGATGGAGAGAAGTTTTTTTTAGGGGTAAAAACCTGATTTATTCATCAAATGCCACATGAAATGGGATACGTCTCAGGTCGTACGGAGTGCCAAACCAGACGTGGCGCCCCGGACCTCAAGAGAAAACAAATTTAGCTAGACTGTATGCTTCATAATTCACAACACGAGACTCAAAAGAAAAAATACAATTGAGAGATGCCGCATGAACATTAATCTCGCTGATGATCGCCCCGTATGCTCCTCTGGCGCTTCTATGAATGTCTGAGATGACTTGCAAGCAATAGGATGCTACAACAAAATGTTGTATATGTAGGTCTTCAACAAGTGCTAATGCTTCGCGCCATGCAATCGCTTCAAGCGTGGCCGGATCAATAACTCCTTCTATGACTAGGGCCGAGCTGCCCAAGAAATTTCCCTCCTCATCTCTGCAAACTGCGGCTGTTGATCCTCCTCTTCTCCTCTTCTTCCTTGCACTCCCCCGTACACGTGGATCTTGAAGTGTCTAGCAGGAGGCCTTTTTGGCTTCGTGTTTGCTTGATGGGATGTAACATTCCGAGCTGGAGCGCTTGGTTTAGCGTTGATCAAGGACAGATCTTTGAGGAACCTCTCTATGAAGCCGTGGGTCGATTGGGGACTCTGAAAGATCGCTTCATGTATTGCCATTCGACGCGCATACCAGATTGCCCAAAGTGTCACGGACATCGCGACAAATTCTTCATGAGTTAACATGTCCATCAACGTAAACAACCACTATTTGGCGTGCGGCTCATTATTCGCTGTGATTTTATGTGTTACCTCCGCCTTCGCCAACGCCCAAACACTTCTCGATGTTGTGCAATCAAGAGGGAGTGACGCCATGAGTCGCAAGTCCCACAGATACCACATAGATTTGAGTCAGACATATGATGGTGTGCTCTAACATCGTTAGTTGGGAGCGAGTGTTTTGAAAGTCTCCATAAGAACATTCGAATTTTCCCTGGAACTTTAGTCTTCCACAATGATTTCCACGAGTTCTCCTCCGCCCTGACATTAGAAGGGCCTGCAGCGCCTTCTAGCCATGCCTCACGTCGTGCCCTCGTGGCCACCAACATCTTATACGCCGACTTGACCGAGAAAGTCCCATGTTTCTAAAGTGCCAGGCCCAAAAATCAGCTATATTTTGAGTGCACAGTGGGATTCCGAGGATCACTTGAGTGTCCATTAGCAAGAATGTGGCTTGGATCAATTGTCTATCCCATGATGCTGCCGTGCTCGTGATGAGCTTAGAGACTCTTGTTGGTGGGTTTTGAACGCGGCAGCCATATGGTCTGAAAGACTCCTCTCTGGGGAGCCAATTATGGTTCCATATTTTCGTGGTTTCTCCGTTTCCAATCCGTCTGACCAGGCCCTGTTTCATGATATCTCTACCCTCAATGATTTCCCGCCAAATCTGACTTGGGTGATTACCCAGCTCAGCCTGCAAGATGTCTATATTTGGGTAATATACACTCTTTAGCACTCGAGCACTTAGCGACTCAGGAGTTTGAAGCAGGCGCCAAGCTTGCTTAGCGAGCATTGTGAGGTTGAAGAGTCGAAGTCCTTGAAGCCTAGACCTCCCCATCCCTTTTGGTTGGGTCATTGTTTTCCAAGAAACCTAATGGGGCTTCCTTTTTCCTTCCTTACTCCCCCACCAAAACTTTCTTACCAACTTGTTTAGATGCTCACAAAGGCCCCGAGGTAGCTTGAAACAAGACATCAAAAAGACTGGGACTGCTTGTGCCACCGATTTGACTAGAACTTCTTTGCCTGCTGAGGACATAGTGCGCTCTATCCATCCCTGCACCTTTCCCCAAAGTCGGCCCTTCAAATACTTGAACGAACCGTTCTTAGAGCAGCCAATATCAGACGGCATCCCCAAGTACTTCTCATTTAGGGTTTTGTTAGGGACGTTCAGTGTTTCTTTGATTTCCTGTCTGATAGAATCTGGTACTCCCTTGCTGAAATATATGGACGATTTGGAATAGTTGATATGTTGACCTGTTGCCTGACAGTACGTGTTCAGAACATGGTACACCTCATTGGCTCCACCACCGTTTGCCTTGAAAAAAAGCAGGCTGTCATCAGCGAATAGTAGATGGTTTATCGGTGGCACCAAAAGTGCTACCTGTAGACCATGCAAGTTGGATGACTCACTTTTTGATTTAAGAAGGCATGACAGGCCCTCTGCTGCTATCAAGAACAAGTATGGAGATATTAGATCCCCTTGTCTGATTCCTCTTGAAGGTATGAATTGTTGCAGTTTCTTTCCATTGAACAACACCAAAAATTTCACAGTTGTCACCAGGCTCATCACTATTTGGACCCATCTCTCGAAGAAGCCCATCTTAAGCATTATCGCCTATAGATAATCCCATTCCACTCTATCATAGGCTTTCATCATGTCAAGCCTATGAGTGCCTTCATTTTATGAAGAGGAATAAGGCAAAGAAAGATGGAGAGAAGTGAGATGGTGTCAAGGCTTTGGGTTTTCTGTTTTTGTTTGCGCGCGTGGTTCTCAAGTGTTAATGGGCCTATTTATTTACTTTTTGACGGGGTGATGGGCCTGAAATAAGCGAAAACTCAAAATCACTAATTGTACCCCTTTCTGAAGGTCACTCCCACTTTTCTCGGGTGCTGACAAGCGGCGCACTGCAGGTGCGTCACTTATACAACCTAGAAGTTGTTTTTCTTCCCATCAAAAAGAAGAAGAAGAAGTTGTTTTTTCTAGTTTCATTTTTTCAAAATGTTTCATCTCTTGAACCGTACGTTCAAATCATGAACCATTTTCACCGCTGGAATTGTTGCATCGGGAACCTAGTTCTCATGTTAATACGGTCGTAAAAAAATTCTAAAATTTGGCCCGGTACTGTTCTAAGTTCAAAAGTCTAGTAAATTAAAAATATGTGTTCTTTTTCAAGGACAAAAATAGGAAATCGAGAACAAAGTAAAAAAAGAGAAGAACCCAAAAGACACTTGTGTTTATTTCCTTTTCAGGAAGCGCATGCTGTGTTTTTCCTTTTCGGGAACCATGGAAGCACATTGTTTTTTTTTGCGAAGGACAACCGTGTTTTTCAGCACAAGCTATGTTTTTTCCTTTTTGGGGGAAACACATCTGTGCTTTTTTTAAGAAGGACAATTGTGCTTATCATACCTTGCTTCTCCCAAAGAAATCTTTCAGAACTTAGGGAAAACTAAGAAAAAACCGCAAAGCCGGAACAAAAACATCCCAAAAATATTTGTAAAAAATATCTAAATCTATGGGTGCGCCCAGTGCTCGACACGTGGCGGTGGCTGGGCGGACCACTTGACGCGCTCCCGGGGCCCAAAAAGTGACCTCTGCGAGAGGCCCCCAAAAGGGTACCCATTAACTAGTTGCTCCAAAAAACTAATTAAGTAAACATGATTATTTTTTAACACAATACAGATGCAGACACCCTTGTATACGCACATACATTCACCCCTATGAATGCACATATGCACCTCTTAACCTTATTGTAAGTGCATCTAGTGCCACCCCTAGTTGGTTTTGGAGTATTGACGACAAAGTTGGTTGAGGGACTAATGCGTTTGTGAGAATTGCAGAATAACGCAGGTAGTGTCCCTCATTGACTCGGTTTACCTATCGGAGATGACCCCTAAAAATGCATGAAGACATTGACGACAATGGTGGTATGAGAAGATATTCATATTGAAGACTATGACATGAGAAGACATTGTGTGAAGACTATGGAGCACGAAGACTGTGTGATTTCGTTGTTTCCTTTTCTTCTTTGTTGAGTCATAGGAACCACCGTACTGTTAAGTGGGGTCCAAGTGAACTAAGTCAGAGTGACTGAAGTGATGCTCAACCCAAATCCTATGTCTTCGAGCGAAGACAATGAGAGCAAATCTTATCCAGAGTTGGATGAGTCAGCTTTGCTTGTAGCCCAAGTAAAGTTGCCGTGTGTGTTTGAAATCTGACCGTTGGAACACGTGTCAGTTCCTTAGTGACCCAGGGTCATTTTGGACAAATCAGGTCGGGTTGCCTAGTGGCTATAAATAGCCCACCCCCTACACCATAAATTGGTGGCTGCTTAGAGTTAGTATACGGCTTTTGTCGTTTGAGAGCAACCCACCTCGAAGCATTTGAGAGAGAGAAATCCTTGCGAGGACAAAGCCCAAACACCTAGAGCCAAAGAGTGTTAGGCATCACTGAAGTCTTTCTGTCTGTGTGACCTAAAGACTTATTACACTTGAGGACTGTGTATCCTCCAGCCGGTTAGGTGTCTCGTTCTGAGCATCCAAGAGTCATTATGGATTGCCGGGTGAACGGAGTCTGTGAAGGTTTGGAAGTCTACCTTGAAGACTTACCAGAGTGATTGGGCGAGGACTAAGTGACCTTAGCTCAAGGGGAATAAGGTGAAGACACGGTCTTCTGAGTTGAATCTCATTCTCCCTAACCAGACGTAGAGTTGTCACATCAACTGGAACTGGTCCAACAAATCCTGTGTCTTCAACAAGCAACTGGTTCTATCTCTTCCCTCCTTTACTTTGAGTTTATCTTCGTGAAGTCATTGCTTATCTTCTTATCTCATTGACTTCATTGTTTGACTACTATTGTTGATTGGCTTCATACTATCTTCCATCCTGATCCTACTACCTAGCTGCTATTAATCTTCGAACGTTAATGCTATTGCATACTTGATTATAGCTTGCTTGTTGTAGTTTATCTTCCGCTGCATATCAATTATGTTGTTTCTATTGTTTGTCTTCGAAACTTCCATGTTTTGAAGTCTTTCATAAAAATCGCCTATTCACCCCCCCTCTAGTCGATAACTAGCACTTTCAATTGGTATCAGAGCAAGGTACTCCCTTGTTCTGTGTGATTCGGTTTAACCACCTGGAGTTTAGCTATGT